TCTATGGGTTACTGTGAACCAACAATCATATGTTTCTATGGGTTCCTGTGAACCAACAATCATATGTTCCTGTGAGTTACTGTGAACCAACAATCACATGTTCCTGTGAACCAACGATCATATGTTCCTGTGAGTTACTGTGAACCAACAATTTCTTTTCAGTTGATCATCAAACTAATGGCTATTGTCCTCTTGAGTTTATCTAAAAGACGAATTCATTTATCGCTTTATCTATCTATCTATGAATATAAACATTAAATTACCAATTAACTTTGTTCCCTATCACGTAGCGCTGGTGAAATAAAATGGTCTGTAAAACTATTGTGGACATACTAATAACTTTCGACAAAACTCCTAGTTTACGGGTTATCCAATGGATATAAACCTATATTCGTCTTTCTTTTGTTTAGAGAGGAGCCTCAAAAGAGTTTTTATCTGCTGTTTTACTGAACCATGACGAAAGCCAATCCTATTATATTGTCAGTCATCAATAAAATGGCTTCAAGGTTTTATTTCGAACTTCAAGTCGTTTGGAGTGAACAAAGAATTAACGAATACAACGCAAATCTCCAAGTTATTTTAGCCAAAGAAAGGCGAATAACATAATTAAAAATCCGTCGAAATTCATTGGATTAAAATTTAATATTCTATAACGAATAATGGTAGAAGTTGTTCAAAGTTAAAACGGGATGCATATATTTAATATATAAAACGTTTCTTTATCTTCAATGTTTGAATTTATTTGTAAACATGATTCTTCTTCCGTGTTGTTAAAGTATATCCTCACTAGACAAGCATTTCATAAGCCCTAATTTTCATATCTGGAGTTATTCTGTTATGTTTATTTGTTTCACAGACATTCCCCTCTGTCAAACATTTTGAAAAGTTTTGGCTTTTTCATATTTTCTTATAAGTTTATATGTTTTCTGTATCTTAGATATTTAGTCTTCAGGTAGTTTTTTTGGATAAATTCATTTGTTGAACTCTAAATGTTTTGATTCGCTAAACAATCGACAAGAAAAAACATTATGCTAAGTATAAAATGACTGCATAAATTACATAAGTATTTATCCTTAACGTATAAAAGTCTTTACATCGAAATACCGCATTGCCCATTCTGACGATAGTGAATCTCTATAGATGTTTTGTTATCAGTTTTATAGCGCTAGTCAGAGTAATGGCATATTATTGGGATACAAATATAGCTATTCCATGTAGAAGCGATTCTAAAAGTGTTTCTATGCATAGATTTATATATATATATACAATATTGAAGTCCACAATGTGTGATTATATATACAAACTTATAAAACTTTATAGCAAAAAAATTACAGAGTAGTCACAATACATTATAAGTAAATAATATGCTTGGTTATTCTATGGATATAATCAGAATGTAATATAGTGCATAATAACAGTTTTCGAAACAAAAACAGAAAAAACATGGTTGGGCATAACATTTTGTAAACATACATCATCTGAATTATAAATCGTTAGAACAAAATAGTATGCCCCCCCCCCCAGTGGCACAGCGGTATGTCTGCCGACTTACAACGCTAGAATCCGGGTTTCGATAACCGTGGTGGGCAGAGCCCAGATAGCCCGTTGTGTAACATTGTGCTTAATTATTACGAACAAAATAGTACATATTATTATCTAATAAGCAGAGTATAATAAATAAGGTTTTAAAGTTTTACCATACAGAATGCTTCCTTTAATTATTTAAAGCAGTACACATCTTTAAGAAACGTGACATATATGATCATTTAGAGACATAACAGTATGAGCCAGTAACCACTTGCTGTTTCTTCTTGTTCGTTATGATTATAAGAATAAGCAACGTACTTGGAAACATTATAAACAATACTTTACACTGTTATAGTTTTCATGATTACTGAATTCTTTATTTTGGAGAGGCTGTGCAAATTTTTTCACTGATTTCTATTCTTTGAACAAAGATGAAAGCATGTGATCTGGAAAATGCTAGAGCCCGTCTTTAATGCGAAAATTAAAATGCATCGTGTTTTAGCACTTTTTCATAAGACTAAACTGTGGAAATACTCTCACATCAATTGATATATTTCATTCTTGAAACACATCAAAATATTTTTGTGATTTGCATTTCATTTCCAACTGTTTTTCTAGAGCCCTATAAATTCCTGTTTTGCACGAGCTCAGAAAATCCCCGTCGAAGCTAAATTCAAATCATAGTATGTACAGCAACTAGCAAAGTTGGCACTCGCCACTCCACTGGTTTCTTGGAACAGAAGCAAAATCCTTCCGAACTGTCGCCTCCTATAAACTGATGAATTGCAGTTCTCTCGACGGGGAACCGTTGCTAAGTAAAAGAAATATTAGTCACAAACACGACTCTTAAAGATGGTGATATGAACCAAAGCCTGTCTTATGTGATCGATAGGCGCTGCATTTTTGTTTTATTAACCACTTCCCTGGATAATATGGTTTAATAAACAACAATATTTTCGAGAAAACATTGATATTTGTTAACTATGAGTTCAGCATTTCGATTAATTTTGGTGTCATATTTTATTCATAACACGACTTTCTCCAGAACCTTTTGTAACATTATAAGTTAAAAACATTAAATCATGAGATAAGTAAACTTCAGACTTAAAAACAAAAAAAGAAATTGTTAGCATGCTCTACGCTGTATAGAAATGACATCGTATTAGATCTAGACTGTAACTGTGCACTAAAACAGAAGACATGTTAATGTAAGTAGGTTACAAGGATTAGACTTTCAGTTTAAAGCCCGGTTAGTAGCATTATCAAATGTTCTGTATCTTTTGTAAACGGACAGCGGTAAGTTTATGGGCTTCCAACATTGAAATCTGAGGTTCGATATTCCCGCGGTAGACACAGCAGATAGCCCAATGTGGCTAAAAACAAACATGCAAACTTTTAAACTGTAACTTCCACATAAATTTATTATTGGTAATAAATGTAGAATATTTACGTTCAATAACGCTCCAAAAACAAAGCCTTACATTTTAGTATGATATTTTGTTACTCCGAAGTATCAACTTGTATTTAAGGTTCTAGACCAAAGTTACTGTGGTAGTTTCTTATTAATTTAATTGCTACTCACTTCCGCTAATGAGAAAGGCAGATCCCAGTTGCGAAGAAATCCAATTCTTTTTATTACACTTGTGATTTCGTTATACTTCGTTGAATAGAATTGCTTATTAATTGAGCTTAGGGCTGCATGAAAAAAGGAAACAAACCCGTGCATAACTTGAAGAATATATGTATCCTAGCAGATGCTCGTTGAAACAATTTAACTGTAGTTTTTAAAAAATAGTGATGAATAAATATAAAATGTGCAGTCAACCCAACCCTATGGATCAGAGCGTATATACAATATGATTGGCTAGTGGGCCGTTTACAACCATTTTTTGTTATTCCATGTGTTATTTCAATAAATAAAGTTGCATTACATTAG